GTGGTCAGTGTGTGTGTGTGGGGCGGTGTGTGTGTGGGTCAGTGTGTGGGTACCTGTCCGCTCTCTCTGGTCGGGCCCGGGTTCGCTGCCCCGTCACGGGCTCTGACAGACGGCGATGTGGAGGCTGCGTCGGTTCATGGTAAAAGTTTTAGGCCCCGACAGTGACTTAGTCTCTTTCCAACCTGTCATTTCCCTCCCACATTGCCCCCACCCCCCCCACTCCCACCTCCCCCCCCCCCCCACCACACCCCCCCACCCACACCCCACCCACCCCCCACTCCCCCCCCCCCCACCACCCCCCCCCCACCACACTCCCACACCCCACCCCCCACACTCCCCACCCCACCCCCCAACACACTCCCCCCACCCCCCCACCACACTCCCCCTCCCCCACACTCCCCCCCCCACCCCCCCCCCCCACACTCCCACCCCACCCCAACACACTCCCACCCCACCACACTCCCCCCACCCCACCCCCCCACCTCCCCCCCCACACTCCCCCCCACACTCCCCCCCACCCCACCACACTCCCCCCCCCTCTCCAACCACACTCCCCCTCCCCCGCCACACTCCCCCCCCCCACTCAGCCACACTCCCCCCCCCCACTCAGCCACACTCCCCCTCCCCCCCGCCACACCTCCCCCACCACACACACTCTTTCCCCCCCCCCATGTATGTGCTGTGTGCACTTGTGTGTTGCATGTGCGCTTGTTGTGTTGTGTATTATGGTTGTGTGTGCTGGGTGTGTGTGCTTGTGTGTTTGTGCTTGTGTGTTGTCTGTGCTTGTATGTTGTGCGTGCTTGTATGTTGTGCGTGCTTGTATGTTGTGCGTGCTTGTGTGTTGTGTGTGCTTGTGTGTTGTGTGTGCTGTGTGTGTGTGCGTGTTGGTGCGCTGTGTGTGTTTGTGTGTTGGGTGTGCTATGCTGTGTGTTTGTGTGTGTGCACAGTTTTGAAACTGGTGCGTTTGTAGGAAAAGTCGCTGTCATTACCACGATCTTGCTCAGCACATGTGAAAACAATTACTCTTTCCGCTTGGGGATCACAGAGATTAATGGAATTGTTTTTTTTAATTTTTAAATGGAATACAAAAAAAAATCTGTTTTGGGTGAATGTCAAGCGAGGTATGTTTGTGAACTGTGCGTGTATGCCATGTATCAGCAGTGACAAGTTTGTTGTCTGACTCATATTACACAGTGGATTTGCTTTGCTGTATAGTTTCTTCTCCCAGCAAAGAAATTAACATTAACGTTTCATAAATATTACTGGCATTGATGTGACCCCAAAGTTACATGTGATTACAAAAGCAAAAAACACTTAGCGGGTCAGGCAGCATCTATGGAGAAAGGAAAGTGAGTCAACGTTTCGGGTCCAGGGGTCCACCTGCTGAGTGTACCCAGCACTTTTGTTTTCAGATTTCTAGCATCTGCAGTTTTTTTGTATTTTGTTTATATGTGGTTACCACAATTTTGTCTTATTGACTGAAAGCCTTTTACCACTGGTGGAGCGGCTGTGTTCTCTCCAGTTGGGTGTAGTTGCAAATGAATGATCTTTTTAACAACGGTGGGTTCTACAATTTACATGATGAAAATATTTGGAGATGCCAAATCTTTTGCCTCTTTTTAATTGGAAATTTAATTTGGGTATTCACTTCTTAATAGCTGGAGGAAATATCTGGGTTAAAGGGCACAGTCAAACGTTACTGTTTTTTTCTTTAAAAAAATCTATTCCTGAATTGAATTCCCAGCAAGGGTTAAAATCAAGCAGATGAAGTTGCCTGTGCAACCTTTTCGAAATCTGGATTGTGTGAGGAAGACGAAATGCCTCCCTGTGATTGAAAAGCTTAGTCCATTGTTTCAATGCAAATAAATTTTATCGTAGTGTAAATGCAAAAGGCGAAACTATTGTTGGGCAGCAAATAACTTCATCAATCTCTTATGCCGATCAGCGTGAAGCTGGTAGTTCTTTTGAAGTTTCAAGAAATTCCTATTCTGAGATTTTCCACTTTTTGCAACATTCACCTCTTCCCCCAGGGCTCAAGCTTTGGTCCACTCCTACTCCTATGGTATCTCAGGGTGATGTCACCACAAGCTTGGGTCAATTTTCACATGCATACCATTGACACCCAACTCCACCACCACCTCAGTTGCAGGATTGTTGCTGTCATCAAGTCTTGGATAAACCTTACCTCAATAACTTTATTTATATATATATATATATAATATCCCTAATGGTGTGTGGTCCTAATTGGACAAGCAGCAGGATACTTGACGGCCAATGCTTTCAATGGCAAGCTATGCCTTTTGGGCGGATTAAGCTTCAGCGGTACTTCAACGTACATTCTAAGGGATCTCCAAACGTTAGCTCTTACCAACTTACACCTAATACTCTCCAGAATGAGATAAGCATATGCATCTTTCCTGAAAAAGAATGCACATTCCATTCCAGACACTGGAATTTCTGTGTGTAAGTGGAATGCATCGAACCTCTATTTGGTTTGGATATTCTTAAGCATAGCAGTAGGTTTCTGCATGTCAGACAACTCTCTGACCAAAAACTGCCACTTTGTTTGATATTTATTGTGCTTTATGACATAACACCTCAAAGTACTTTACAAGTACTTGCTGTCAGGTTAAGCGACAGGTTTTGTATATTGCCTGAACGAAAAACAGTGAAAGACAAGAGTTTTTCTTTTGAGAAACCCGATTGAAGGGTGAAGACTCACACGACAGAGCACAGCCACGGTTGAAACGA